CTCTTGTGACCTCCAACCCTCTTGGAAATGGGTTGTTTTTATCTCTGAAGTGTTTTTTCAGCTCTTACGTCCTCTCTCTGTCTCTATGTTCTGTGTCTTGTGTGTACAAAAGAGCTACTGTGAACCGTCTTGAGTTTGCTTGGTCACTAACTGGATGAGGAAAGCAACAAGCCCTTGTATTGCTCTAACGATTTATAGCTTCCAAAAACATTATCAGGGCTGGATGTGGTGGCTCACACCTGTAATCCCAGCACATTGCCAAGCCAAGGCAGGAGGATCGTTTGAGGCCAGCAGTTTGAGACCAGCCTGGGCAACACGGCAAGACCCTGTGTCTCCAAGAAAATTTTTTTTAATTATTCGAAAACAATTTCAGGTATCCTCAAACACTTCTGTGAAATGAGTGAAGTGAAATCTCTACTCAACTCAGGGAATTTAGGATTTCTTGGCAAGATGGCCTGTGTATGCACCGCTCCACCAGCTGTTTCATTCTGCTTCACTACAAGTTCAAAAGGTTAGAGACCTGGTAACCTTGTTTTAGTAAATGAAACCACCCCTGCTCACATACCCACTCCCAATTCCTTTGGGATCTGGATCCCAGATTCAAAGTCGTCCCCTTTCCTATCCCCATAATCAGATTTGGCACAGAACATTTTGATGCTGTGTTCCAAAAGCTCGGAGCCTCTGGCTGTTTGTCCCTGAACTGCCATAATTGGCCTCAGGGTTCTGCGACATGTCACAAACTGGTGAATAAAATGTGTTTGCCCCACGGCCTAGAGGTGACACAAATATGTAGTTTCTGCGATCTCAATCCAAACCTCTCTCTTTTCTCCAAACCGGGGCCATTTCATCCAAAACCAGGCAGGCTTTTCAGTACCTAGCTGCTAATGTATTAAATAACACAAAACATGGAACTTTTTAAAACATTTATATTTATATATATAAAAAAATTAAATATATATAATATATAGTGTGTTTGAGACTAAAAATATAGTACATAATATTTTAAAAAAAGGAAAAAAAAAGGCAGAATAGGAAAAAGGTGTGAGGGACACACAGATACACATTGCTAAAAATCTACGATGGTTCGTCCTAACAAAAATAATATTTCTTTTCTCTTCTCTTAATTATCATCATGGATCCATTTATTATTGGGGTTTGGGTGGAGAAAATTCAACTGGAGCCAGAAATGGCAGTTGCAATCCCAGGAATAGCTGGGGTAGGAAATGTGACCACAGGGAGCCCTGGGCCTCTTTCTGGTGAAATTGGAGGCAGCAAAATCTTCTGGGTCACTACTGCTAACAAGATTGTGTCAAGAGTTTGATTGTATTGGCAATTTGGCTGCTGTCTCCCCAGAGTTAGGAGTATTCCCAAGCGGCAGCATCTGAAGAGCCCAGGGTCCACCAACACCCAAAGGGCCCGTGATTTGGGCCAGCAAAAAGCCAAAGACGGGGACAGTGGACTGGTAGGAATGAGCGATAGTTCTATGCAAATGGAGTTATTATTATTATTGTTATTATTTTTAAGGGCAGGCTTGTACCAGAACTGCCCGGTATGGCCTGTGACTTCTGCGCAGCAATTATTTCTCCAGGGACAGGGCCTGGAGCTCCCTCACAGTGATGCAAGAAAATGGGATCCTGCCCCCCCTTTCCCAGGCCCTTCCACTAGCCCAGAGGTGGAGCGTCAGGACCCAGCAGACAAAGGTGAGCCGATGCCATTCGGAAAGTCTGACCTTGGGGACAGAGAAACCCCGTGGGGTGGGGGAGGCCAAGAGAAAGGAATGGGATATTTAAATGCTAATTTGATAGCCTCTTCACAAAAACAAATGCCTTTCCGATCACATCCCCTGGTCTGTGCACTCCAGCGCTCATCACAGCCTCCTCACAGGTCGCACCGAGGTCAGCAGCTTCACTAATCCCTCCAGGTGATTCTCAACGTGCAGTATGGCCTAGAGGCAGAGTGGTGACCAGGCTCGGGTCACACAGCACTAACGTGGTAGGGAAGCCTTGGGAGGGCCTGGAGTTCAGCGGTGGGGACAGGACTGTCCACCCAGAAAAGAGCAAGGCAGTGACGGAGCCAGTTCACTCCAAATGGGGTCTTGGCTTTAATGTGGTTTTCTCCAAATCCAAATGGCCCAACATTGCTATGTACATGGGCCCTCCAAGTATACTCCAAATACACTGACAGGCCCTCCAATTCCATTTAAAGGAGCCCAGGACTTGTGGCTCCTGACAGAGCATCCACAGGTTAACGAGAGGGCCCGGGGCAGTGTGCTCCACGCTGTGAAGCAGAGAAGGCTCCCTCAACACTGTGAGGGAAGAGGCAACTGTTGGGTTAAGGAGGGAACATGCTGCCCAGAGACAGGGCAGTCAAACTAGCCCCTTCACTCCAAGCAAGACATTTCTGAGAGCATAGCCTTTCTCCCCTCTAACTTACGGTTTTTGCTTCATGCAAACTCTGCGGCTGGACTTCGAGGGATCCAGGATTTAGGATGCAGGCTGGGCCCGCCATAAAGAGACCACAGCTCACCCAGAATCGCAAGAACCTCTTTGAGATCAGAATTTCTGTCAAAACTGCTTTACTCCTCTTCCCTCCACCAGTTCCCCTTGCAAAAGGCTGCTTCCCAACAGGGTCAGCTGTGCTCACTCCTTGTCCCCTGGCTCCAGACACCTCAGACTACAGGCTTCACTGCTTGGTAAGGGGAACGGGCAGTCCCTGGGCTAGGGGGATGTTCCTGAGGACTGGGGTGGAGGGCGGCTGCTCTCATTTCCCCAGAGAGTAGTTGCCTGAAACCTGGGCGCACAGTAAAGGAAACACACCATGCCCTGCCCCGGCAAGAGACACTTCTGCAAACCTGTCGGAATTATGTGGGGAGCACCACGCACGACCCAAAGGCTAAAGGATAACCCACCATATCGCCTTTGCTCTGAAGTTTAGGGTGTGCTTTTTGTTGCTGTTTGGGATGAAGGGGTTCGTGTTGGGAATTAATTCACACTTCCGACAAGATAATGAAGCCTATGATGAAAGCTTCTTTGAAAAGAACTCCCTATCCTCCAACGTGCTAGCCACTGTTCCCAGCTCCTTGCTAGGGACGGGCTGTCCCCCACCCAGGCCCCACCAAGCAGATACAGCAAATGAAGAGCAGTTCTAGGTTGGCGCAACCCTTCCCCTTCATTTTACAGGCCAGAAAATTGGAGGTGAGGAACGCAAAGTTAGGCCAAGGTCACTCAGTTAACAGCAGCTTCAGAAGTGGCTCTCAGGTCTCCTGACCCCTAGTCCCTTGCTCTTGCCATGGAAACAAGAATGTCAAAGGTGATCAGAACAGAGCACCACCAGGCTAGGAGACTCCAGCATTAGACAGCAAAGCTCTGTGATCAAGCCCACTCCCCAGAAAAGCTGCTCCATGGGGCCTACCAGGCAGTTCTCAATTCAAGATTCTGATTGCACCAGCGTGTGAGTTGCAGAGGGCAGAGACTGCCTTGGTTGCTGATGCTTCCTTGTGCCTTGCATGGTGCTGGCTTAATACCCAGGACCCCACAGTTCATGTGTTAGGAGCAGAGAACAGTGAAGCAGCCCTGTACCGGGCTTCAGAAAACCGGGCTTCCTTTCTCTGCAATTCTCTCTGCACCTTCAGCTGAGTTACCCAGGCACCTTGGGCCCCTCCTCGCCATCATTTCAACAGAATGGACCTAATACTTAAAACAAAAAGGGGGAAATAGAATCCGGCCAAACCCAAAACAAAAAAAATTTTTTTGAATATTCATGTTTTAAAAGCCACCATCTATAGGCTTTCAGTGTTTGGATTACCCATGGCTCTGGTTTCTACGAAAATAATCAAAATTTGTATTCATTTCCTACACAGGAACCTGCATTCTTGACAGACCTTCCACTGAGTCCTCACAAAAAGACTGCAGAAAGGTGTCGGCTTGCAGGGGTGGAACATGGCTGGGAGCGCACCAGTGCCAGTCGGGTCCCCTCTGAAGGGCTCTCTGCTGAAATGGAGGACACAGAGGCTGCCTGTGAGGCCGGAACCGGAGCTACTTGCTTCCCGGGTATTATGTGGTTACCAGCAAAGGGATGGCTGGGAATGTCACCCCTCGGACCCATCAGTAAGGGTGGTGATGGCCCGTAGCTGATGAGCATGTAACTCATTAAAGTGAACATGAGTAATGAATGGTGACCACCGAGAAAGGGCAGGGAACAGTCTGGGAATTGCACCCGAGGCCCCGCCTCCTACTGGCCGAGAGCAGTGGGCAAGGCAGAGAAGAGCCAACTCCAGACACTGCTTCTCGGGAAGGCGAGGCCGGGGCAGGGGCAGAAGCTCTCTTTGGTCAGAAGGTGGCGGCTGGGAAGCGGTCGTGTGGAATTTGTGTGCATGAGCGCGCATGTGGGCATGAGGAGGAATGGGCCGTGGCACGCCCGCAGTGCCCTTCCGCGCCGCCTTCTCCCGGTCAGCGCGAGTTCCCTGTCGGGGCCGTTTCCGGGCCCCCTGCCTCTCCAGATCCCCTCACCCGCCTCTCCCCGACGCTGCAACATCTGACAGTGTGTTTGAGGCTCTCAGTACCCGCTCCCTGCACAACCGCCCACACAGGGTGGGTCATCCAAAGCTTGACGCTCAAGGCACTGAAAGTGGAAGAAGGAATCTGATTGGTGCAAGAGAAAAAGCCACTTAACAAAAACCTGGCTAAAGAGCACACATCTCCCATGCCCCCTGGAAGGTGGCCTCTAACCAGCTGGTGGGCCTTCAGGTCGGACAGTAGAGTCTGAGAGCCAGGCCCGTCCCCTAACCCTATCAGAGCGCCCACCTGTGTGACAGGTCTCACCACCTGAATGTATAAAATGGATTCAAAGTGCTTGGAGACTGAAAGAGCAATGGAAGGTGTTAGGAACCTGGTGAAGGACGGGTGCCCCCTTTCCCTTTCACTGGGACTTGTATTTGGGTGTGGGAATCCCTACAGCTTTTGTTTTTTTCCCAAATGAGGTTTTCATTGTTTTTGTTGTCCTTGAAAGATAGCCCATAGCACCCCACCCTACCTCACCCCTCCTGAAGCGGGCTCAGAGTCAAAGCGAGGAAGTGGGGCAGACAGGGAGAGAGGGGGCTTGGGTGGCTCCCTCTAGTGTCGGTTCTGGAAGCTGCTACGCAACATTGGTCTCTTGGTCAATTAGGACACGGTCCTTCTCCACCAGGACCCCGACTTATCTTGCTGGCACAGCAAAGAGAAGGAAAGCGGGCAGTGCTGCTGGGGACTCCTGGCTCCCCCTGCACGCTAACAGACAGGTGTCCACAGTGGGCAGCCAGAGTGACTGGCATTTTGATCCCGGCTGAATGAGGGCTGGATTTGAACTCAGTGCCAGGGCTGTTCGGCAGACAAGAGCTAAAATAAATCCAAGGTCCCTTCTGCAGTCCCTAAGGAGGGAGAGATGCACTCAGGGCATGGATGCACACAACAGAGGGACTGGCCGGACTATGCCGTTTTCCACCTGCCTGTGCCAGAGCCACCCACTGCCATACTCCATGTCCCCTAGGCCAAAGCCTGCCCACCCCCACATACCCCCTTTCCCACTTACGGGAGACCAGAAGGGTGGGGTAAAAAGGGAATGCTAAAAAGTGCCCCCTCTGCTCTCCCCAACCTTCATGTTCCCTGTCCCCTTGCTGGGGTCAGGCAAGAGCGCAGGTCAGGAGAGACACACCCTCCCGAAGAAGAGGGAAGGGCAGGCCCGGGAGGCTGGGGCATGCACAGAGCACCATCCTCAGGACGGGGTGTTTCTGGGAGACCTGCTCCCCACCTGCCACGGCGGAGGAGGAAGGCTGGTCCGAGAAGGGAGCAATGAGCAATGCCCCTGAATATCAGGGAACAGCTGTGAAAGCCTTCTCCTCTGCCCCGCAGAGATGCCCCAGCCAGGCTCTGGCCCCTACACGTGAGTCTGCATGCGCTGCTGGAATCGCTGGCCATAGTCCGAGTGCTGGGAGGTGTAGGAGAATCGAGTGGCCGTGGCGTACTTGCCGATGGGGTCGTACGCCTCATATGGGGTCCGCTCCAGGCCGGAGGTTGGGGCCTGGGGGTAGCCCAGTCGGTAGGTGGGGTACCCAGCTGCCCCGGGGAAGGGATGGGAGTTGAACTTCTCATAGTTCTCGTAGGACAGCTGGCTGGTTGTGTCAGTGCCAGCTGGGGCAGCAGGGCCAGGGGGCGCAGGCTCAGGGCCATAGTCGGAAGCAGGGGCCCGGCTGTAGGTGTTGAGCTGGGCATAGCCGCTGGAGTGGGAGAGACGGGATGAGGGGCGGCCATCGAAGCGGGCAGGGCCAGGGGCGCGGTAGTCAGCATAGAGCACTGCCCTGGAAGACGGGCGGTCTTCGTGGGCACGCACGTTGTAGTAGCCATTGGTGGGGTCCTGGGGGCAATGAGAGAAGAGGATGGAGGCGGCATTCCCTCTTGGGCAGGGATCAAGTCTCATCATGGCCTTCTGGGCCTCCTCCTCTGGCTTCCGTCTAGTACCACTCCACTTCCTCCGCTCCTTCACCCTCCTGGCCATGCTCCCCACACCTGTCCTTGCCTCCACCCTGCAGCCCCCGTCCCAGCCAGCCCTCAGGCCCTGGCCCCTTCCCAGTCCCACCTTCATCTCATACTCCTCCCGGGTGTCGATGGTGTCGCAGCGCAGGTCCTGCTTCAGATCCACATCATCCTTAAAGGACTGCAGGGCAGCAGCAGTGGGCGTCAGGAGACCGCCCTGCTCATCCCCCGTCGCCCACACCCAGAGGCCACCTGCTCATGGGAGGGGTCTGGGATCAAGGGCAGACCCGAGTTCTGTGTCCTCTCCCAGCAGAGGCTCTGGGATTCGGTGGGGGGAGGCCAGACACCTGGTTCAAGCACTAGCTTTGTTGCTAACACGTCGTGTGGCCTTGGGCATGTTGCTGCCCCTCTCTGAGACTATTTCTTTTTTTTTTTTTTGAGACAGAGTCTCACTCTTTTGCCCGGGCTAGAGTGAGTGCCGTGGCGTCAGCCTAGCTCACAGCAACCTCAAACTCCTGGGCTCAAGCGATCCTCCTGCCTCAGCCTCCCGAGTAGCTGGGACTACAGGCATGCGCCACCATGCCCGGCTAATTTTTTCTATATATTTTTAGTTGTCCAATTAATTTCTTTCTATTTTTAGTAGAGATGGGGTCTCGCTCTTGCTCAGGCTGGTTTCGAACTCCTGAGCTCTGAGACTATTTCTTTATCCTAGCAGTGAGGTGGTTGGACCAGAAAACTCCTAAGCATTTCCAACTCTCACACTCTGTGGGGAAAGATGGGGCAAAGGATGCCTATGGAGAATCCCCCCCTCCCCACACTGCTTATCTTTTGCTGGAGGGAAATTAGCCTGGGGTGTGTGTGTGTGTGTGTGTGTGTGTGTGTGTGTGTGTGTAGCAGGACCAGTGTAGGCCGACCGACCAAGGGAAGAGAGAATGACAGTGGTTATTAGAGAGCTGGGTAGAGCCAGTCCTAGGAGTGTGAAGGGGCAGTAGCCAGGGAGGAGCAGGACCCTCACCGAGTAGATGGCCTTCATGACCCGGGTCGCTGTGGACACACTGGCGGTATCGTCCTCTCGGTCTGAATGCATCGTGAGTGGCTCTCGATTCACTGTCTCCACTTTGATGTCCAGCTTCCTCAAGGTCACATCCTTGCGACCTGGGACAGGGGGAGGTAGCCTAGACCGGATGCTTTCTGCTGGTCTCCGCAGTGGCTGCTTCTGGCCCCTCCTCCTGGGAGCCCAACTGCCAACCCCACCACCCATCACAGGCACCGCCTGCTGCGTGCCCCGGAAGGGCCAGGGGAGGGCTGCAGACTGCACAGGGCCCATACTCACTGCCTTTGCGGCGCCGGTAGAGGAAGAATACCAAGGCGATGAAGAAGAAGATGAGCAGGATGCCCGCGCCGATGGTGGCCCCGGCGATGACGCCCACAGGTAACACCTCTTCCAATGGGAGAAGAAAAGGCGCAGGGTGAGGATGGAGCCACAGTGGGAGCTGCGCTCAGCGCTGGCTGAAGGCTGCGCCACAGCTACGGTGGCAACCCTGAACAGTGTGCAGGGTTCAGTTCCGACTAGCCTGGGGACCGTGCTGGGTTTAAGTCAAGGGGATTTGAGAGAAAGGTCTGGACTGTGGTTGGATTTAGGTCTGTGCTTCAGCTTGGTCAGAGTTGAGGGCATGGTCCTGTCTCATCCCCGCAGCTGGGGTATCAGCTTGATCATGGCCTTGGGTCTGTCTAGCCCTCTCCGTGAGCCCACCTGCCTGTGAGGCTTGGTCCCTCCTTCCAGGGCTGGGCTCTTGTTTGAAGTTAGCTGTCCCCAAACTCCAATCTGCCATCTGTGTTCCCACCTCTTTTGCCACCTTCCCACCCATACCACTGTGACCACCCTATCTGCACCCACCCACCCAGCGCTCAAACAGGGGGCTTCCTGGGTTCCCTCTGCTCTCCAGAGCTGAGCAGGGATTCAGGAATCCTCCTCCAGCCTTCTCTCTCTTCCCAGCAGTCCCAGTTGAATCCAGATTCTGCTCACAAGTCTTCCCATCTGAGACCTCCCCCGCTGAGCCCACGTTACTTTCCACTCTCTTCTTCCCCCATCCCCTTGCTGGTGTCCTCAGCTAGGACGGAACTGAGGGATCCCATCATTTTCCACAGGGTTCCCCACCTCCTACGTCAAATGGCTAGTTCTCAAAAAACAAACAAAAATGCTAGCGTTCCCTCATCAGACGTGACAGCTCTCCACAGCCAAAGGGAACAGCTCCTTCATCCTGCTGGAAGTGCCTTAAGGGAGGGAACGTGTCTCTCCTGTCAGAATAAGGGTTCTTGAGGAGGTGGGGGATCCAGAACTTACTGAGTACCTACTGCATGCCAGGCATTTTATACATATTCTCTCATTTAATCCTCACAACCACCTAGTGAGATAGGAGACAGGTAGTGTTATTCCCTTTTGCAGTTCATTTGATCTTCTGCATCTAAACTCATTTGTCCCCACTCTGTAAGTTTCTCCACTAAACGGAAGGTTTCTTGAGGGCAAGAACTGTGTCCTGTTCACGGCTATTCTTGCAGCCCCGAGGGCACAGCCTGGCACATAGCAGATGCTCAGTAATGTGAACAAAATGAGCAAATTTCCCCAGCTGAGCACCAAGGCCAAGTTCTGGAGGGGAGGCCCAAGGATTCTCTCCCTCTGAGCCCTGCCATGGAAGGAAGAGGCGGCGGAATTCCCAGGCTGCCCTGGCCCCCACTGGGCAGCACCAATTACCTCGCTCTTCTAGCTGTATGATGGCAGTGCCCGGCCCAAAGCTGTTCCAGGCGGTGCAGTTGTAGTGGGTCTGAAAGTCGGCCTCCATGACGTTGTTGATGGTGAGCGTGGACAGCACCCCGCTGCCCGAGTTCGTTCTCTCCACGGTGTAGCGCTCCAGGGTGCCCACCTCCAGGAAGTTCTCCTTCCATGCCCAGGCCTGGGGTGGGGAGGGCCGGAGGGAGGTAAAAAAGGGGCAGAAGCACATGCCTAAGTGTCACCTGATCCACCCTCAGGGCACCCTCAGGCCAAGTGCTGTGTGTGGCCCCAGCTCCGCCTAACACTAAGTATGTAACAAACCTAAGTCACACCCACTGCCTCAAACCCACGGCATGGAATCTCCATTCGAGGGGGAGCACTGGCTCCCAAACATGGTGCACATCGGCTTTACCTAACGAGATTCTTTAAAATCTAGACTCTTATTAGGGTTTATGCCCTAAATATGAATCTCCAGGGGAGAAGTCCAGGAATCTCCATTTTCGTAATGATCCCATGTGATGTGGACGCAGCTGATCCAATGAACCGACACTGGGAACCCCCAGGTGTGGTGGGAAAAGTTCTGGAACACGGGAGCGGGGGGCCCATCCTGGCTCTCCCCACCGAGTCCCTGTGTGGCCTCCCTGTCCCTCTCTAGGCCTCATTTTCTTCATCTGTGAAATGAGAGAACCAGGCTAGCGCTAGACAGTGCTTCTGGCTCTGATAGTCTGGGATTCTAACTAAGCATAACTCAATCTTTAGGCTTATCTTTAACCATCCCGCACGAACCCGCCTGGCTGGCTCTGGAGACCCATCCACAGACTCTTAGAACAGAGAGGGGCATCCCCCAGACCCAGCCATCCCTGACCTCCCAGCCAGGGCATCCTGCCTGGGTGTCCCCTCCCTCAGAGTGGAGCCCAAGGGGTGGGGTGGGGGCTGCTGAGAACTGGCTCCTTTCCGGGGATCAGTCCTCCCAGCTCTGCAGAGAAAGCCTCCCGGGAGCAGAGCCGGGCGGCCGTGGTAATGAAGTGTCCCTGGGCAGCCCTGGAGTTAGCCAAATGGTCATTAAATGTGATGAGGGGTTTGACGGTTAATGGTCACGGAAGGAATTAATGGCTCTTGGTGTGGGGGAGAGGAGAAAGGAGGGAGGAGAGTGGCGAGGGGCTGGTGGGAGGAAGGCAGGAGATAGAAGAGGGGAGTTGGGGCAGAAGCCTGACGGGAGGAAGGGGAGAGGCGGGGCGGGGGAGAGGGGAGAGACCAGGAGGCGGGATGGGCAGGATGCGGGGTAAGAGACAGCAAGAGCATCGGCCCAGGGGAAAGAGAGGAACTAAGGATGAATCGAGTGGCTGCCCCACTAGGCTTCTCACACCTGTGGCTGCAGTGACTTCTCACAGCAACCCTCTAAGTGGCAGTTATTGCCTCCGTTTTATAGATGAGGAAACTGAGGCCGAAAACACTGAGTCATTTGCTTGGTGCCACACAAGTAAAGCTGCAGGTGGGACGTGAGTGGTAAAAAGATAGAGAGACAGAAAGGCAGAGGATGAGAAGGATGGAAAAGGGACAGAAGGCCAAGGGACCAAAGCCAGAGGCGCGAGGGGGCTGGGCCCCAGCAGAGAGGCAGGGTGGGCTGGCCGTCCCCGGGAGGCCCCGCACTCACTATGCGGTCTGGAGGTGGTGTGCTCCCAATGAAACACTCCACCTTGCCACCGTCACCCCTAACAGCGTACTGCACCGCCTCGCTGGAGATAATGGGGGGCCCTGCGAGCAAGAAGACACAGTCAGGGCCAGTCGGGACCCGCAGCGCCTGCCCTCCCAGGCCCCGGCCGCCTCTCAGGCCGCTCACCGTTCACGTAAAGTGGCACCTCCCGCTCAGCCACTCCGATCCGAGGCACGATGGCCCGGCAGGTGTAGGTGCCGGCATCTGCCTGAGTCACCGACTTCAGCAGCAGCTGGTTGCTGTTACTCAGGACCTGGGCAGAGAGAGCAGCCTCGGGTGGGGAGCCAGGAGGCCTGGACCCCTAGGTCCAAGAGGGCCCCCGCATTGGAGGCATTGGAAAGAAAGCAGGAAGGGCCACAAGTGAATTCCCAGAAGGGAAATGGGTTCCCGAGTCCGTTTGTTCCATGCCCTGACCCTACACAGGTTGGCGCGTGAACGCACCGTCTCTGCAATGGTGGGCAGGGACACGGTGGAGGCCAGAGAGAGCAGGTGCAGGCTGCAATCATTTTAAGAGGATGCAGCTTCTTCTGTTCCAGTATTTTTATTGCCAAATGAGGTAGGACATTTTGTTCTGAAATTCCTCTTTCCACATTTCTGGCCCAAACTATCTAAAGTGGGTCTCTGTAGAATCCAGGGAACCAACTCTTCCAGCTTCCCCACCGCCCTGTGCAGCATCATTCACCAGACCCCTGCCTCTGCGCACGTCCACCTCGGGCCTCTTCCCACCTCCCACCCCGCCCGGATCCCCTCTGCCCCTGAACTGGCCCACTGTCCCATGAGAAGGGGTGGGGGTGACTGCAAGCACTGTCCTTCTCCTCCAAAGCCCAAGACCCTAGAAATAACCCAGGTTCAATTTGAAAAATAATGCTGAATCCCGCCTTTCTCCCTCTACACCCCCCATGGCCGCACCCCTTCCTCCCAGCATTCAGCACAGGCAGGAATCTTACCATGTTTGAGTCCTTTTTGGTCCAGGTGAGAGTGAGGGGGGGATTCCCAACCCAGACACAGGTGAGGGTCACATCAGAGCCAATGTCTGTGGTTGTGGGTTTGGGGTCAACCACGATCCGGGGGGCAACTGAGGTAGGAAGAAGCCTCTCGTGAGGGTCTCAAGCTCATCGGAGTTCAGCTCCCGTCCCGACCTGCCGCCTCCCCACCCGTGGAGCCACCCCCACTCCACCTCAGGCCTTTAGAGGTCGCTGCACCCAGTCCCCGTCCTGCCTTCCCGCGACTCACAGTGGACATTTACTAGAGTGCTGACGTTGGTGCTCCCCACTTTGTTGTGCACCTCACAGGACACGGGCTCCGTGAAGAAGGAATAATCCACATTCGTCTCATAGCGACTCTCGTGGGCATCTTCAATCACGAACCCCCCCTTGGCCCACCTGGGGGAGGAGGCGCCACAGAGGAGGGGTCAAGGCTTGAACCCTCCCCACTAGATCCAGTGACACTGGCCCCCCAGCACCCGCCCAGCCTCAAGGGCCTCTCCAATATCACACCCCAGAGCGCTCCCAGCCCCAGACCCCACACCTGTAGCCCAGGATCTCGGGGTTGGCGGTGGCCTGGCACGTGAAGACGACACGCTCACCCTCCTGCACCGTCTGTGGCTCAATGGACAGGGTCACTGTAGGAGGGTCTGCAAAGTAGGGGACAGGGAGTCAGGATCTTTTCTGTCCTTTGAGTTTCTTTTTGCCTCCCTAGTACATATACTCAGACCTCACCACTCTGGGGGGGGTCTGGGAATTTGAGTTTGCTGTTTTATTTATTGCAGCCCCAATAAACAAGCTGTCTTCCTCCCCTTTTCCACACGGAGCCTCTAGGGGGCCAGCTAAGGTGACCAAGGATGGCACCCAAGGACAAATTATTCAAGGGACTAATGACCCACCGTGGCCACTAGGCGTCAGTGTGGGGTCGCCTGGATCACTAAAAGGGATGGGGTAGGGGGATCCCCAACGGCTGCCACGCCCCACAGTTCCCTGGACAGAGGGAATTTCTTGCACACCCACCAGGTGAGCACACTCCATGCTAGATGATCTCACGCTATCTCACTTAATGCTAACAACTCCAAGAAGCAAGCACAGGTCCACAGTCCCTTATCTGAAACGCTTGGGACTGAGGTGCATTTCAAAATTTGGAACTTTTCAAATTTTAGAAAGGCAATGCTGTGCGGACTGTTTACTGTGTAAGACCCCCAGCAGCAACACGCCATAGTCACACACGTTAATTCATCTGCACTGAAACGTAAGACTATTAAGTTTAATAAAAGACTATGAAGAGCCTCGCTTCAGGTTAAGGGATAGCAGACCCATATTTTATTCTCTGCAAGTGCACAGAATTAGGACCCAGGGCTCAGGGAGATTAAATCATTGCCCCAGATCATATGGTTTAGACCCAGGACTGTCTGACTCCACAGCCAATGCCCCTGCTGCCAGCTCTTAGCACCCCCAGGTTCAGAACCAGGGAATCTAAGAGAAAGTGAGCATTTGCCCTGGGGCCTGGGGAGGATCCTCATTCTGTGCTTCTCAAAGGGCTGCTTATGTTCGCCACCCCTGCTCACTGCCCCAGACTGCTCCGCCCGCCCCCACCCCGCTCACGGTGCACATCCAGCTCGATGGAAGTCTCCTTGCCACTCGGGATGGCCTCGTTCATGCTGCGGCAGGTGAAGACACGCCCGATGTCCAGGTCTGTGGGGTTAATGAGCAGCTGGCTCACGGTGGTCTCCCTCTTCCCATCCTTCAGCAACTCCTGGCGTGGGACAAGGGTGGGAGACATGGTCAACCCAAAAGCCCCTCCTCTGCTCTCAAGGTGTCCCAACTTAGAGCTGCGCTTTTGCTGGAGGGGTACTTTAACCCAAAGCTCAGCCCCCTCCCCTCCTCCCAATATCTTCCCCATGCTTTTTTCTTAAAGTAATAGACTATTTTATTTATTTATTTATTTATTTATTTTAGAGAGAGAGTCTTGCTGTGGTGTCCAGGTTGGCCTCCAACTCCTGGGCTCAAGTGATCCTCCTGCCTCAGCCTCCCGAGTACCTGGGACTACAGGTGTGCGTCACTGCACCCAGCTGATAGACTATTTTTCAGAGCAGTTTTAAGTTTACAGAAAAATGAGCAGAAAGTGCAGAGTTTCCATATGCTCTCCTCCCCCACCTCACCATTTCCTCCATTAGCATCTTACATTAGGGCAATATATCCGTTGCAGTTGATGGACCAATATGGATATATTATTACTAACTGAAGTCCACAGTTTCCATTAGAGTTCACCCTTCGTGAGTCCAGCGCCAAGTCCCTCCTCTTTTGGAAAGTCCTCCTCAGCCAGCGCAGCCCTTAGGACTCTCTCCCAGCCGGAACTTGTGCCCCTTACAGCCTGGTGTCCTGCACACAGCTCTGGGCAATCCAGCCTTGCTCCTAGGCACCGTGTGTGAGTGAGTGGTCCACTGCTGGGTCTCTCCTGCTAAACTACAAACTCCTTGAGAGCAGGGAAGGGACTCATGCCTCAGTCTCACACTGCCTCCGTGGCACCCAAACTGAGGTCCCCAAATATGGTCACAGGACCTCTCGAGCTGTTTTCCACATTGCAAACTGCCTAAGGGAAGCCATACTGTTAACCAAGGAAGACCCTGCAGTTTGACAGCCACGCACACATCGTTGCTGGCCTGGAGTGACACCAGGCCAGTGTAGTAACGATGGCTCCCTTCTGCTGTCCCTAAACTCCATTCTCTTTAATAAATATGAAAAAAGGGGATGGATGACAAGTGGCCATTAACAAATCAACCTGTTTCGTTGCCAAAATATTTCAAAACATGTAGCCCTACTGGAGAGAAATAACAGAGTTCTTGGTTGTAAGAAGGTTATCAGCACCACTGAGGACAAATCATTATTTGTCGAATGGTGAAACTAAGGCCCGAAAATAGTGAAGTGAATCGCCCAGGGTCATACAGTGTGTTAAGGGTGGAGCTAAAGCCAGAGTCCAGGTACCCCCTTGGGTTGCACTGAGGAACACACCTCTCTCTCCAGGCTGAGAAGTGTCTCCTGCAGCAGCACCCAGCAAAGGGCTGGGTACACGCACACATTTGCCCACGGCTGGCAGAAGGAACCCCAAATAGGTGATCTGGATTTTCACTCCAGCTGTACTGTCCACTTTGCCATGTGACCCTGGGCAAGTCACTTGATGCCTTTCTCTGCCGTGGCTTCCTCATCTATAAAATGTGTACAATACTCTCTGCTTCCCCAGACTTTTAATAGTGATGATTGGGCTAATATGCCAACTAGATGCTGAAGGAAGCGGGTAGAAGTAACCAGTAGAGAGAGAGCACAGACGGACCCAGGTACAAATCCCAGCTCTGCAGCTTGCAAGCTGTGTGACCTTGGGCAAGTCGCTCAACCTCTCTGAACATCAGTTTCCTCCTTTGTGAACTGAAGTAACACCTCCTTTATGGGACTCCTGTGCAAATTAACACTGTCCATTAGCATGCATAATGCCTGGCACACAGTAGGTGCTGCTGAATCCATGGCAGCTATTATTACTATTATTCTTAGTCTCTGTTCAGCTACTGAATGGCACAGTCAACCTGGGGTTCACTTCTCTGGGCCTCAATTTTCCCAACTGTATAATGAGTGGGTTGGACCAGATGACCTCAAAGGCTGCTTCTGTGTCCCCCTGATCAACCCCCTGTGGGAGAGGAGAGGTGAGCTGGGGGCTAGGCCCAGGAGGAGCTGGGGGGCCAGCCAGGGCTCACCGTGCTGGCCACGGCACCCTCCTGCTGTGTCCCGTCCCGGAACCAGATGATGGTGGCTGCAGGCTTGGCGTTGAAGGCTCGGCACGTGAGGTTGTGCGGGGTGCCTGCCTGCAGCAGAATCACAGGGCCTCCGTCAATCCTGGTATCCTCCGGGGGGACTGCGGGGGAGAGCAAAGCAAAGTCAGCCCTGACGACCCAACCCCTCCCCCTGGTGGCATCCCTCCATCTGCATGCCCACCTCTTGGCAGGCGGTGCCACCCTATCCCCTAACTCACAATCACTGTCTCCACTGCTCCTGTGGTCACTTCACCCCAGGTCCTCAGCTCACAAGCTTCCCCAGCCCCTGTGGGTTCTTCTTTCCTAGCTTGCACTGTTTTCTGGCACTACATGCCCTACCATTGCTTAAACCTACATAGAACAGATGGAGGGGGTAGCCGCAAGCTCAGGAAAGGGCTGGGCTATCACAGGGCTGAGTACCGCGCCCACTGTCGGGGGCCTGGTGAGAAAAGGCAGCTATCCCCACGGGCTTCTTACAGCCTCCCTTCCTGTCTGCTCCTCTGCCCTGCGGCAGCCAGGTGGACAGGCCTATTGCAGCAACCTCCACGCCACACTGCTGGCAGGTTATTTTCCCTAGAGCACAGCGAAGACCGTGCCACCGTCCTGCTCAGACACCTTCAATGGCTACAACTGCCTTGGGCATGAGTTCCAAGCACCTCTGACTCCTGTCCAGGGGTCCTCAAGCCAAGACCTTTAATTTCTCACCTCCTTGTCTTTGCTTATACTGTTCTTTCCATGTGGTATGTCCTCCCTTATAGCTTCTGGTGAAGGGCTACCCATCCTGTTCAAATCCCAGTTGATGCACAAGACCTTCCCTGCCACAACCCCAATCCCTCACGGTGGTCCCAGCCAGTCACTCAGCTCTTTGCACCATCTACCTTGGATTTGGGTTACTTATAACAATTTGTCTACGCCCACCTCAACTAAAACTGTATCCCCTGGAAAAGCAGGGACCCTGTCTCACTAATATTTATATGGTCACCAGTGCCTAGAATGTGACCCAAGTAGGCGCTTATTAAACGCTTAAGGAGTTGAATCGATCAGGTGTCTGATGCCAGCAAATAGGAAGACTCTCCCTACCCTATCTCCCTATCCTATCTCCAAGGCTTTCAAATGCTGAAGTGACCCAGACTGCAAGTTCCCTGAGGGCAGGGGCTGCTTCTTATTTACTCTCAAACCTCCCAGTGTCTAGCCCAGAGCTTGGGTGATAACAGATGCTCAGGGCTATTTGCTGAATGAATGAATAAGTGACTGAGGAAATAAAGGCAGAAGGATTTTGTTGTGTGGTTTTTTTTTTTTGAGACAGAGTCTCGCTCTGTTGCATGGGCTAGAGTGCCATGGCGTCAGCCTAGCTCACAGCAACTTCAAACTCTTGGCTCAAACAAGCCTCCTGCCACAGCCTCCCGAGTAGCTGGGACTACAGGCATGCGCCACCATGCCCGGCTAATTTTTTATATATATTTTTAGTTGTCC